AGAAAGGATTTGTGAATATGTTACTGAGCGAGTACAATTAACTATGTAAAATTCCAATAGAACACTAATATGATCACTTTAAATCGGGAAATTTAGTTGTTTAAATTTAAAATGTGTTAATTGGCTCAAAATGGCAATTCAAAATGACGTGATATTCACTCGATTTTCGTAAAATACTCAAACTGCTTAATTTTGAGCCGTTTTGCAGAAAATAAATTACATTTTGTTTTTATATATATAGTACTAGTATATTGATTAGTCCATTAAATATAAACAAGCACAAAATACTAGAAAAGATTCATTTTTTTCTGGAAATAGTTAAAACAAACTCGACTAAAGAGTTTCCAAATATTCCCCCTCGTATTTGACCGTGTTCCAAAGTCTTTGAACCCCCGTCCACCTAAAATCACTCCTGAATCCTGTGTTTATCAACTCACATTTCTACCTCAACATCCCTCAGCACACCATCAAATATAACTGAAGAAATTCTTGTCCGATTTCATCAAATACTTTGTTATAGCTTTTTAGCACTTATAAGAACTTAGTATTTATATCCCCTAACATCTTCTATTCCAGCTTTATTTGTTATATGTTTCAGTCTGTCTTCGGAATTTTAGTATTTTCAACACTCAAGTAAAATGGTGCCCCGTGTCAAGGATGATTACCCACTTGGCACGTAAAGATCGTTTCTCTGGAGTTCGAAAAAGAGTAAGCTCACTTGGGGCCGCTAGAGAAACCAAAATCTTTCAAAAACCGATTATTTAAACTGATAGTCCGCCGAAACATGGCTGAAAAATTGCCGACTCGGCGTTAAACAATATAAAAATCAATCAATCAACACTCAAGGAACAACACATTTATGTTCATATGTGAAAAGTCTATTTTGGTTTCCAAAACCTTATGCAAAATGAAGTAGAGGTACTGTGAGCAATTACCTCACTAAATGATACCCCCTGTCTCCCATATGAATATAATAATGCCAGTGTCCATGTTTTGCTATGTGAAACCCAAAATATATGTTGGATCAAAAAGTAAAATAGGAAGTGCACAATGGCAATATGTAATAAAGATTCTGTGAAAGTTTCATCAAATTTCATTCAGTGGTATGAGAGGAGTTGTGGATAAGAGATGGGTACCCCAAAGCATAAAAGACGGACGGACGGACATACAGATTACTCTATACCCTCCAGCTTTTCAAGCGGGGGGGGGGGGGTATAAATAAAAAAATCTCTGATATTCAAGACATGTACTTCTTCATTTCGTATAGATTTGTTGTCTTTTAGGGTAGAAAGGTCATTCTATTAGCAAGAAAATTCTCAAACTTTATCATCTGGAATCACATTGTGTGCATATTTTGGTGAGAAAAGTTGTATAATTATGCAATTTAAGTGCGCCTGCAGATTCCTCGTGATTCCTAACACTTACAAGCTTTCGTAACAATAGGCCTAAGCCATTCTTGACTTCGATCTAGTCAACACTTCTCTTGACAACATAATTTTCTTGTAGAACACTCCAAGAACTTTACAAGGCAACTTGATCCACACTTCTTTGTTAGAATAGTGTAAAGTTGTATCAAAAATCGAGGGAGGATTGAAAACATTTCTTCTTTCAGATTTTGTAAATCTCAAAATTTTTTAATTTATATACACTGTTCAATACAAAATTATCCGTTCACAACATGAAATACTAGTATTTGAGAATGTAGTTAAATTTTTGACTGAGAATAACAAAATGCAAATGTAGGGACACAATATCAGAGCTGGACAATCAAGAAAATTTATGGTTTACGTATATTATACTGATAATTCTTAATAAATATGTTTATATTTGGATATTATAATGTATTCAGATTTATATGATGTAACAATTACTAGCCCTCTAATTGGTCGTGGTTCATCATTTTAAAAATCATACTAAGGAATGTTACACCAGACCTTCCACATGAATATAAACATCTATACTGGACTAAAAATAGATCAAGAATTTCCAACAACTGATATGATATAGCAGCCCTAGAACTACAATGTTCCCTCGCTTTAATGCTCGTGGAATACTGCTCTTGGGGTAGCTTAATTTTCATATTGTCCTCAAAACAGCAATTATTGTATGATATTATTAACTTTTTATATGAAGAAGCATGATAAGACGGGTAATAGGTAAAATGTCTTCGGAACTGTCGTCAAATATTTATCTTAATAATAGAAGTAATTTAACAAAAATCCGTGTTATAAAAATCCTAAGTCATTATCAAAAATATCCTTTAACGTTCATTACATATATAAACATTATTTCAGGAATAAAGAAAAACCTGTCATTTATTTTCTGCAAAACGAATCAGAATTAAGCAGTGTGGGTATTTTACGAAATCGAGTGTATAAAACGTCATTTGAATTGCCATTTTGAGCTAAATAACACATTTTAAATTTAAACGACTAAATTTCCCGATTTAACGTGATTAGCTGCAGATCTGTAGCGTTATGGTTTTATATATTTGTCTTTGACCATAACGCTACAGATCCCGTAGAGCAAAAAAGATGCAATTTACGGCGCAATATTTTTTGCGCTCTTTTGGGGAGAATTTCTCCACTTTCTAGCATTGGTCAATCGACTACCTTTCATTCCCTAATTCTAGACACATTCTGTAGCCAGTATGTATAGTTTATCCACCTCCCAACCATCTATAGTTGTCTCTACAGGCAATAAACTTACTTGAAGTGAATTTTCAGTAATATAACAAATAATTTTAATCAAGCGAGTTTATCACTTGTATATAGAGACGAGTATAAAGGGTTGGGAGATGGATAAAATATACAGATTACACTGTAGTTAAATAATGTGTCTTCTAGAATTAGGGGTTGAAAGGTAGTTGATTGACCAATGCTGCTAGAAAGTGGAGAAATTCTCCCCAAAAGAGCGCAAAAAATATTGCGCCGTAATTTGCATCTTTTTTGCACTACGGGATCTGTAGCGTTATGGTCAAAGACAAAATATATAAAACCATAACGCTGCAGCTATAACGTGATCAAATTAGTGTTTTATTGGAATTTTGCATAGTTGTACTTCGCTCAATAAGATATTCACAAATCCTTTCTCCTATGTAAACAATATTAAGAAATGATTTGAAAAAAAAGGAATATCCGCAATTTTGAATCGCCATTTTGACTTTTAACTTACAGCTGCACCATCATTCAATTGTAGAATAGGGAAATGTAAGGGAAAAAATTCAAATCTGCAGTGTATGGATGTTTGCAAATGTAAAATCCTGAACAAAGAAGAATAGAGAAACAACAGACAAATAAATCAGAGAAAATTCGAATTAAGTGTAGAAAAGATTAAATTTTATGAGTTAAACTAATGATGTTAGCATTCTATTATTATTTTTTTTTTTTTACAGTTTTATTACACTCAGTTAGATATTCACTCATTACTTCTCCATTTTGAACGACATTAAGAGAAAATTACAAAAAAAATTGATGTCCACCATTTTGAATCGCCATTTTGACCTCTTTAGCGCCATTTTCATGAAGGCCAGCATATTTTTTCGGATTCAGCATACTCGAAATAGGTTAAAAAACTATGCTGGACCAAATAATATTTATTTGCTGTTAGAAGTTATTTGAGAGATAGAAAAACGGCTATCTATCATATAATATTCGTTAAGAGTTCATAATCTGTGATTTACACGTTGAAATTTCATTTTTAATTTGTGTGTTGGGATGGATATGTACATAATTAAGTAGTTTGCTATAGAAGTATGTTTAACACATTTCCTTTTTAATTAATATTTATTTAAATTTTGTAAGAAACGGTCAATTTTGAAGGCATGATGACTTGGATGCGATAACATCGCTTTTTCATTTTCATACACTAGCTTTCCCCGCCATTTATTAGACGTTTACGCGTAAATAGTTATACATCAGCCTATTGTGGATGCGAGCTTCTAATTAAATATTATAAATTAAAGCAGGTCTTTATTTTATTGCGACAAATTAGCACAATAAATAAAGAAATTAATAAAATTGACAACAAAATACATGGTTAAATCATTTTTAATGAAATCATTGTTATAATTCAGTACATGTACATATATATTTTGTTATTATACATCTTTTATTTTTCATAATACTTTATATCTGCTTAGTAAAACAAACATGAACGCGTTTGTCTCAATAGAAAAATTTTGTGCATACTAGTAAATTGTCAATGATTTTATCACATATTCAACTCGTAGCTCTCTCTTCTAGTTTTAATTTTACTCCATTAAGTGGTTTTAATAAACCTGATTTGTCAAGCTGCAGTGGAATCTGAAACAAGTTTAGGAAATATTTCGCATTTAAACAAAAATATTAATAAAGCATCCACAGTATCACCTCATATAAATACATGTACCTCTAAATTATGCTTGAAAAAAGAAATTGAAACAATTATTTTTTAATGCAAAAAATTAATATACATTGTAAATGTATATTCAATTTATCTGAATACAAAACAAATTTTCATTTTGTTTCTCACCTCTGTTTCACTACATGTAACAAAGCGATAATGCTGAAGTATGTAGACAATGGCACATTTAGCTTCCATGGCAGCTAGGCGTTGTCCTATACAGTTTCTAGGTCCATGGCCAAAAGGAAGGAAGGCGTATGGGTGACGCCCAGCCTTGTTTTCAGGAGAAAACCTTCATTAAATGAAAAAAAGCTCTTCTTAAATAATTTGACATCATTCGCACAACTACACATGTATAGCTGGTCAAATCACTACACTGTAAAAAATGTGTTTAGACGATAGACACTTTCCTAAGCACTTTCTTGTCACACTTTTTTTGATGCGTTGAAATTCTAAACACATTTAATTTCATTACGTGTAACGGAAAGTGTTTAGAGCCTAAATACTTACATGTTTAGACTTTAAACACGTTACAAAACATGTTATGATACATGTTTACAAATTAAACACTTGGATGTTTTCGTTGTCTTCCTGCAAGAAAACTGAAAAAATAACAATTGTTTACATTTTAAATTTTATTCAATGAACATTCAAACATGGATTTTTTATAAAGAATTTTAAATTAAATATACATTATATTTTTACACGCTGGTTTTAATTCTAACCAGATTAGCAAGCAGTTATTTTTCATGTCTGTATCAAGTTTAACTTCCAGCAATATTCACTGAGCAACACACGCATAATTTGTTTTCATCTGTGACCGTCAGTAGGTAATCCACTGTCATTATTTGAGAATATTTTTAGGTTGTTCAAAGCTATAACGAACAGCAGACTTCACAAAACTCAGTTTCCCCTAGAAAGTAAGAAGTGTTGAAAAATGTAAGAACGATGGTATGCCATTGTGGACTTGGATATGGCAACAGTTTCTCTGATACGTGTATTTTTGCTTTCAAGTTCGATGTGGACCATATCCTGTAAGAAAAAAATTCAAATTTTATCAAAATATGCTTTTCACTGGCTGGATTTGTATGAACTTTTTTTTTTGTTTTTTTTACATGTTTGATAGCTATTATTGTGCTACTTTTATTGAACCTCGTCTATATAACCACTATTAAGTATTGATACTGTTGTAGATATTATTGATATTCTATATAATGTACTCCTTTCTAGATTTCAGGAATACAAAATATAACCGAAGGTAATCTTGATCTACAGCTACATGTGCAAACGCATGTCTATTTACGTAGCCCATCATGGTCGATTTATGTAAAATAAAAATAATAGTTAACATACCTTTTATCGCAGTAATGTTGCAGTTTAAATGCATTTCACAATCTCTTCATGGTTATCACTTTGATTAGCATTCACTTCCTTTAATCCATCTTCTTTAGCTAACATTGGGATTTCCTTTGTTTCGATAACCGCTCTATTTATCATTCGAATATATATGCGTCATTTCCGGGAAGATAACTCTGCACTTCACAGAAAAGTGTTCAATTTCTAAACACTTATATCTAAACATGTGTTAAATCTTAACATCATTTAGATATAACACACGTTTAGACCTAAGTGTTTAGACGTTAAACACAATCTAACACATGTTTAGACCTAAGTGTTTAGCCGTTAAATACAATCTTATACATGTTTAGGTCAAAACACGTAACGGAAGTGTTTATTTTCTAAGCGCATTTTTTACAGTGTAGAAACAAGTTTTTATGCATTTTCATGAGCATGCATGATCCTTTTTAAAGATAAATTTTGGCTGATCACGTTTATATTATAAATATCACCTACCTTTCCGGATCAAATTTCTCCGGATCCGGCCAGTATTCAGGGTCTCTTTGTACTGCAAAAATTGCAAAGGACAGATCCATGTCTTTCGGAATCTTGTGACCACCGATTTCCATTTCCACTTTACTTTTTCGATTGGTTCTAGTATTTCAAAAAATGACACATATTAAACAATAAGAAATTGTCTATATAAAAATTTGCTGATTTTTTTTGAATATGTGACCTTAACAAGAGATCAGAAAAAAATTTACGTCAAGTTTGTGTTCTTTTGTTGAGATATATGCATATGAAATACGTAGATAACAACAGTAATTATTCCAACTCAAAAATCCATTAAAAATTTAAAACTATACAAAATGGGAGCAATGCAAACACGGAACTCTGAAACAACAGAGGAGGGATCAGGTGCCATGAAGGGGTGAGCATTCCTTATTGATCGGTCACACCCGCCGCGTGCTCCTTGTTATGATTGTCAAACGGAAAAATTCGGTATGAAAATCAGGTTTAACAATATAAGTGGTATGAAAAACGTCAGACAGCATTTGCTCTTTAAATAATAGTTTGTACTTCTATACTTGCTGACAAGGTCATTGCATATACCATAGAAATTCGCAAAACGATGACTAAACAGAGACTACTGACACCCTTGTTGAATGAACTTGTTCTTCAATAGCTTTGCATCATTGTAAAAATTATAAATACAAAGAGCCTTACATGTATCTTTGTTATCGAATCAACCAGGGGATATTCCTAAACCCGGTATGCAGCTGGTGAAAAGGGTTTATTTTTAAAAACAATCAGGTAAGTTGACTTTAGAAAATTAAAATCGTCACTTTAATCATTAAGTTTTTTTTTCTTAAATTTAAGAAATAGATGTGTCAGACTCTGTGGAATTCTTCAGTTCAAGCTCACCGGGATATATCGAGTGGGTATCTGAATGGAGGTAACTTATTTTTTTAGGAAGGATTGTATACCTGACGGCGGGAGGGTATAACCTCAGAGTCTCATTGAAGACCCAGTCTAAATACTCCAACTTCTGGACGTTGTCGTATGTAGGAAGGTCCTGGAAAATTGAAAAAGGTTATGTGTAGCTTATAATTGAAAATATACTGCAGAACGACTTCTGTTTATTACAGTATACGATAAACAACAAGGTTGAGACATTGGTGATTTTTTGTATTTACAATTTATCTGTTCTTATAATAAATAGAGGAACCCCCCCTTTTTTGTTAGCTGTTAGCATTTCATCATCTTTGTCAAAGTATGTCAAATATTCATGATTATATCCCCGCTTGAAAAGCGGGAGGGTATACAGTGATCGGGATGTCCGTCTGTATGACCGTCTTTTACGCTTTGGAGTACCCATCTCTTATACGCAACTCCTCTAGTACCATTGAATGAAATTTATTGAGACTTTAACAGAATCTTTGTTATACATGTGTATAGTTCCATTGTGCATCTCCTGTAATTTTACTTTTGATTGGAGACATATTTTTGGGTTTCCCAGAACAAATAATGAGCACGACCCTTTCTTCTATAATATAGAAGGTGTCCATTATCTTATCCGCAACTTCTCCTATACCACTGAATAAAATTTAATACTTTCACAGATTTTTTATTACATAATGCCATTGTGCACCTCCTATTATACATTTTGATCTGAAAATTATTCGGGTTCCCCAGAGCAAAACATGGACTTTTGCCATTATAATCATATGGGAATCGGGGGTATCATTTAGTGATCTCATTGCTCACTACCTCTAGATTTTTAGCTCACCTGAGCCGAAGGCTCAAGTGAGCTTTTCTGATCAAAATTTGTCTGTCGTCTGTCGTTGTTGTTGTCGTTGTTGTCGTAAACTTTTCACATTTTTCTTCTTCTCCTCAAGAACCACTGGGCCGATTTCAACCAAACTTGCCACAAAGTATCCTTTGGTAAAGGAGATTCAAGTTTGTTCAAATGAAGGGCCACGCCCTTATTCAAGGGGAGATAATTCAGAAATAATGAAAAATTGATGCTATGTTTTAAAAATCTTCTTCTCAAGAACCACTGTGCCAGGAAAGATGAAACTTATAGGGAAGCATCCTCAGGTAGTGTTGATTCAAGTTTGTTCAAATCAGGACCCCCGGGGGTAGGGCGGTGCCACACTGGTGGATCAAAGTTTTACATAGAAATATATAGGAAAATTCTTTAAAATCTTCTCCTCAAGAACCACTGTGCCAGGAAAGATGAAACTTATAGAGAAGCATCCTCAGGTAGTGTAGATTCAAGTTTGTTCAAATCATGACCCCCTGGGGAAGGGCGGGGCCGCACTGGCTGATCAAAGTTTTACATTGAAATATATAGGAAAATTCTTTAAAAATCTTCTCTGGAATAGCAAAGGCATAAATTATCATATTTTATGGAAGCATCCTCAGAGTGGACATTCATGTTTATTCAAATCATCACCCCTGGGGGTAGGGCAGGGCCATAACATAGAATCCAAGATTTACATAGAAACATGTAGAAAAAAAATCTTTAAAATTCTTCTTTTCAGGAATAGCAAAGCCATGTTTAGTCCTATTCATAGTGTAGATTCAATTTTGTTCAAGTCATGGCCCCTGGGGGCAGATGGGGCCACAATGTAAGTTCAAATGTAAAGGGCAATAAATCCACAGGTAGTCAAAGAAATAAATATGCAAGCATCCTTAGTTAGTGTAGATTCAAGTTAGTTCAAGTCATACCCTCTCCCTTTTAAGGAATGGTTGGGACCACTTTTGGGTTTTAACTTTTCAAAAATAAACTGATTTATGCTTTTTTCTTAGCTACATTGCTCAGGTGAGCGATGTGGCCCATGGGCCTCTTGTTTTAATATAGCCATCTTTTCTAAACAGAAAAAAACCCAAAAGGATAACTACTGTGACATATATTGAATCCACTTGTCTGATTTCAGTGCGGATAATTAAAGCATTACAAATATTAATAGGTACAGATCAAGACATGTAATTAATGATCCTGGATACTCTGAAGAAAAATGTTTTTGATTTGGAAAAAAAATATTATTTTATAATATATATCCATTTTACTCTTATTTCATAAAATACCACAGAATCAAAACTCTGTTTGTGAAGGGAATGGGAGATTCACTTTTTACAACCTTCTGAACAAAAGAAAGGTAACTCGAACAATGTTTAAGTTTGTGAAGATGATGTGGACTTCTGTCAATAAGTGAAATATCTATAATGGTGTTTACAAATAGATATGAAAAATCGATAACTAAATCAAAATCAAATACATTTACTAATACTTTGAATATTGAATGCTTAATTAAATCTACAAATACATCTTAATATATAATTTATATAAAATTTCTTACGTTCCCTAAAGTTGAGTCAATTTGGTTTATAAGTTTTTCCTGACAATCTGGGTTCGTTGCCAGACAATATACCAGAAAGGTCATGGTGCTAGCCGTTGTATCAAATCCCGCGAGAAGGAAGAGTATAGCATTGCCTGTGACTTCATCCTCCGTCAGACCTATCACAAATGTGGCAAAATCACTATAATTACATTTGTATCAGATAATTTTCAAAAATTAATTTAGAACATAAAGCTCTCAATTAAATTTCAATACTGTCGGATTTGTTGCTTAATAAAACTCTTTACTAATGAGAGAGAGTGAGACCTCGTTTTTTCCATTTGTTTGGGTCTCCTTCATAGCTGTGCACGTCCTCAATCTCATTCTTCTCGGTGTCCTTGTGGGCATTTAGCATCATCTGCAGCAAATCTTTCCTATTCTAATACAAACAAAACGAACAATCATCTATTAGACAAAAAACATTTGTAAAGAGACAGGAAATTTGGTTTTCCTTTAATTTTGAAGAAAATAATAAATTGAATCATAGAGCTTAAAGTACGATTCTTCTCTGGTTTCTGACTAGATGAAATATTCAATGTATATTTGCTTATATGTCTTAATATATATTTACATGAAAAACATTTAAAGGACCATATTTTTCTTTCCTTATCTCAATTGTACAACTTTAAATAGAAATGGTAAACTGTGTTCGAAAACTAGCAGGGACTATACTTTTGGTGGAATGGTGGCATATGAAAATATCTTAAATTCTTTTCTGCCTCTCAAAATTATTATAGAACAATGAATGTAGTTATAATTTTTACACCATCAAAGACTTAAAGAATTTTTCAAATGTTAGCTAAATTAATAATACGGGACTCAAGTTTTAAAATACGTATATCAAATAAATATGAATTTCCACACAAACTACAATCATGTAAGCGTTTAAAAGCTACCATCTAAGTACAGATTTGAGCCAAAAATCTGTAAAAGTAATTTTTGCTCTCTTTCGTTGTAAACGATCAAAACTTTTCGTTTTTGTATCATTTTGTATCTGTGTCTGACTTCTTTACCATATGTGAAAATAAGAAAAATTTAAATATAGGGTGCATATGAAAATAACCTAAATATCCTAAAAATTTAAGAAAGATAGAGAAAATTCGGATTAGCCAAAATCCATTTTTGTTAAACTATCTGTGTCAATTTGGTTATATCATCTTATAGACCATATTGTAATATCTTTTTACGTAAAAAGAAGAACATTTAATCTTTTGAAATAGAAGACCGTATCGCATGGTTGAATGCAGTCATTTTTTATTCTTAATGTCCAGGGAAAAGGTAATGACCTTGACCTGACCTTCACTCTAATATAAAATGGTCAAAACTAATCTAACTGATAACATCACTTAGTAATATTGTCTTCTTGATTCTGTGAAAATTTCATCAGTTTATAATTACAAGAAATACAGTTTTTTTTGTGAGAAGAATCCTACCTTAAGTCACTTTAGGTCTATGATTGAATTAATTTGTGATTTTTATCAACACATATTTGTCATTAAAGTGTATGTAGATGTCGACAAATAACAAAATCAAAACTCGTTCCAAAATATTTTGAAACCGTAAAAATTGAAGACTTGTCTCGCATTTACTTATTTTAAGGTTTCACCAAAGGTCAGCATGTCCAAAAATTTATTTTTGCAATACCACCAATACTATGTGGTTTATAAAGTAAAAACTTATATAGTTTATAAATGTATCATTGATCAACAGATAGAAAGTATCACTTGATAATATATTCTTAAAAAAGAATATTTATCGAGAAAAATTCTTTTAAAAAATGCATATATTTTTCAAAATAACCTAAGTACATCCAAACTTTTAGTGAAATTCATCAAAGCAGAAACAAAATATGTTTATCAATGAAGTGTATGTAGGCTTTTGATAAGCCTAGGAAAAGTGTTTTCCCTGCATGTTTATTTTGTCCAAATGTTAAGACTTGAAACCGAAAGTACAATGCAAATGGAGGATTTTATAAGGGTCTTGTCTTTATACATATCATGCTTTCAATAACAGCCTTTCAGAGACCATTCACGTCCAACTTGCCCTTCATTGGTAAAAATATATTATTTCTACAATGATGGTTTTCACTAAAAGTTCAGCATTAAAGACTGAGGTGCATTTAAAAAAAATTGCAATATTTTTTTTTTCTCAAAAAATATATTTTTAAAAATATTTGTTTTCAAATGATACTTCCTATCTGTTAATCAATGATATATTCATACACCGTAAAAGTTCCAACTTTATAACTCACATAGTTTTGGAGGTATTGTAAAAATAAATTTTTGGACATGCTGACCTTTGGTGAAACCTTAAACATACTGTACCTTATCACCCTCATCCCGCATTTCTATGGCCTGGTGGACCGCCGATTTGAAGAAGTTCATAACTCTGCGATTATTCGTTGGAGATTTGTTAAAATAGTTCAATATCCCATCAAGTGGTGGAAAAATAACTGAAAAATATCATAATAATGATATAGTACAAATTAAATGCTGTTATAAAAATTATGAATTTTTGCTTCTAATTTAAAAGTTTTAGCTGATCAAATAAAAAAAATTAAATGTTTTTGCTCTTTATGAAAAGAAGATTACTTAGAAGTTAATATCTGTTAAAATATAACTTGAATTAAACACTAGTATCGTTGCAGTGTTTAATTTTTTGTACCAATAAGGAAAATAAGAAAATTAATTCTTGGCGCAAAAAGTTCCTTGGCATATTTCACAAATGTATTATCTGGGTTTGTCTGTGAGTCTATATCCATTCCGAATCCAAGCGAGGCTATAACGTCCATCGTGTATCTACCAAACATTCTGTAAATGTATAGTTTTATTATAAACTTTCTGATAAATACAGTTATTTTTGCATATATATACTGCACATGTTTACGATTTCTTCTTTTTTTTTTTTTTAAAAAAATCAAATACTGTAAACCAACTTTTAGCAGCGACGACTTTATTTCGCGATTTTATAAAGGTAAACTAGTTCGCGACGATTAATTTTTGCGATAAAGCCTTTTTGGATCTGTTGTTAATAGACAAAGAGACTTTGAGGATCGGTTCGCGGCGAGAAATATTCGCGATGATGAGGCTCTCGCAAAAATTTTTCGCAACGCGAATAAAAGTTGGTTTACAGTGTATACCAACTCTTTAAACTCTATGGTTTTTCCCTGATCCGCTTCCTTTTTCAAACCTTCGAGTAACAACTGATACTTCTTTCTTAAAAGTGGATCCATCTAAAAAATATTATAGGCAAGCGAAATCATTCAATTCTTACCTATGTATTTTTACATGTACAAACTGAACTTTGACCTATTTACAAATTTTCCTTATAAGTTTATTTGAATGATTTTTTTTTATTCTCCAGCAAGTTTTTCTTCGCATACGATATTTTAAAAATAATATTATTCAGTTTAAATTTTGTGAACAAAAGAAAATGAAAAGATGTACCTTTCTCATTTTCCCACTTGAAAATGTTGGTAAAAGTGTGTTTCTCATAAATCTCCAGTGGTCATCTTCAACAGCAGTCAAGCCATGTCGCAATTCACTCCTGATCTGAAAACTATTCTAAAAAGAATTTGTAAAGTAATGTAAATTTTGTATATTTGTATACAGGAATTCTTGTTTAAAATACTATATGTGTACTATAATTCTCATTTTTTCAAGAATAGAAATTAAAATTTGCAATTTGTTATGGAAAATTTACTCACAGCTCTGTTTGGGGCGTAAGAGAAATCTTTAACTGAAATAGTTTTAATAATTTCAGGATCCGCTATCAAGAGTGAAGGCACTCCACCTATGAAGGTGCTGGAATAAAAAAAGTATATTAATCAATTATGTAAATGCTCTTTTTTAGTATAGGAAGTAAAGGTTGCATTCATTCAAGAAAATAAGCACAACCAGCGTAAGCAATTGTTGCAACCGTCAATATTTCCTTAGTATAAAATCATTGCAAAGGTAAACCGGTTAACCAAAAAATCTCAGCTGCCCCAAAACTTCCATTTCGTGTGTGTTAGGGTGTTTGAGTATAAGAGTTTGATATTAAGATTGTTAAAATGTAAAACACGGAAGTACCTGTATAATCTTACCCGACGACTCTACCGTATTTGTCGATCTGTTTCATATCAAATCCATGGACACCCTTTAAATAAGAACATCATGACTTATAAAACTGGAAGAAACAGCACAACTTATAAACACAAAAAAGGGGAGGGTTTTGTTTACTGAGTGATGACTTTGAAGTAAAAAATAAGACGTGGCCATTTTACTAATTTATTATAAATAAAAGACATGCCTGAACTTACAATTTTCTTTAACTCTCTAAGCGACCCAATATAAGGAAAATATTCAGGACCTGGAACACCAAGACGACGCCATAATCCAAACTTCCATTTCACACGTCTACAAAATAATAATAAGACCTGCATCTGTATCTTATCGTGTTTCAAGAACTTTTTTCGTCGCAAAAAAAAAAAAAACAACATTAATTAAAATGTGATCAAACAGTAAAAAAAGTCATGAGAAAAGGTTTTCAGTAACAACAGTATTTTTACAAAACCAACATGTACTTACATATCATAACAACTGAATGTTAAATTTTTTATTAAGTTTTATTGAAATGAGTTTATTGACTTTTATGGAGAAATGAATTGACGACTCGCAAAACAGTGCAGAGACGAAAGAAAATGAAGACAATACGCACGGGAACATACAGATTAAATGCAAGCTGCACGATAACACGTGCACGTGAGCCCCCGATGTAAACAAAAGGAGTGAAATACCTTCACATATATTTAACGTTATATACTGGTATATTGCTTGTTTTATTACAATTTTGAATTTGTTTTTGCCTCAGAACAATAATTTATGAAAAATCGTTTGATTGCATGGGTTCCTGTTCATAAGTTATATGTGAATTGTAAACATGGTAAAACCTAATCAACAAACTAGTTTTCCTTGACGGAAGTGCAATATTCTCTGAAACGTGATAAATTGATAAGGAATATTTAAATATTCAGAAATACAAATACAAAAAAAACAAGCTGTGTCTGTACTTACATGTAAACAGCAACTAGAGCAAAGACAATGAGTAAAATCCACCCATTAATTTCCACAATACCAAGGACATCCATAGTGTACCTCACACTATTTGAACGGTCCACGTATTTATATATAAAACAGCTCTGTGACCGAGAAATGACTAATACAAACAAACCTCATTTGACGACATTTTTATTTTAAGATATATAGCAGTTATCTTTTGTTGAGTCATGGATAACTCTGCTCCTGATAATCATGTCTATATGAAGGCAAACGAAAAGGTAAAAATACTAATTATTGACCTTAAAATCGTTTCTTTCAATGGTGTAATACTTTTTTCATGTTTCGAACAGGTAGAATCTTTATCTACCGAGGACGCGTCAAAGTCTAGATAACAGTGATTGTCAGGTGTAAGCTGGTTTTTGTTGAGAACATTTATTAAGATCTATGTACTTCAGTATTGCAATGCTTGTATAAAACGAATGAAATTGATTTATGTCTTCTTACGAATGAGTAGTATATCGGGTTAAATTTCCATCTCATTCTAGCGTAAACAAACACCCACTGTGAAATCATTTTTCTTGCGAATTATATTTTTAGCTGTTTTGTTGTGTAAAGAAGGCCACAAATTTATATCAACCATGCAAGAGCAAATGTAAATGTGCACAACGAAATAAAATCTTTAAATTTTTCAACACTTCTTCAGCCACCAAATAATGGGTTTAGCAAATACAAAGTGGAGTGTAGTTTTTCATACAAGCTGTAAAGGCATAATTTTCACACTAAACTGTCTTGTTTTATTCCGTTTGCCTGATTATAACAAGGAGCATAAAGCGTTTATGACCAGTTGACAGGGGATGCTCACTCCTCCTTTGTACCTGATTCTACCTCTGAAGTTGTTATAGGTCCGTATTTGCTCTGCTCCCAAACTGTAAGATTCCAAGTTTTTTTTTTTAGCTAAGGTAGGATTTTTCTCAAATTTCTTGTATTTAAGAATTAATGAAATTTTCATAATCAAGAAGACAATATCACAAAGTGATGGTATCAATGAGAATAAGTTTGGCTGTTTTATATTAGAGGCAAGGTCAGTTCAAGGTCATTAACTTTTGTAATGAAATAGAATAATCATAGTGGATTGAAATGCTTTTGAAATCTGATAATTAACCAATCAACGTTTACATTGTAGCCAATCAGAGTTTGCAAATTATTATCCAATCATTTGTAAGTAGAAAGAGTATAGATATAGACACCCATGTAACAATTGGTTACTTGGTCGTTACTCATCGTTGGAGTAACACCTTCTTGGTTTGTGTCGGGAAACAACAGAATTGTTCGTTAGACCACTCAGCTCAAGAATCTAGTTCCTTATTAGTGTCTCAGTGACTATAGTGTCTTGGTGACTTAATTAATATAGTGTCTTGGTGACTTTTAAGAAAGGTGTCTCAGTGACTTTTAGGGTGTGCTCTTTAGGTAGTTGCAGACTGTGTCGGGAAACAACAGAATTTGTTTTATAGTTAGTTTTCTAATCATTATCCAGATAGGACCTAGGAAAAATATATATAGTGAATTCAGTCAGTTGTTCGCCATTGTTATAGAAGTTTGATTTATATTATAAACGTGATTCTTAGGAAGGAATCCTAAGCGGACCCAATAGTTAATCATTTGTTCTTTGTAAAAACGTTACACTTTTCCCTGGACATTAAGAATAAAAAAATCACTGTTGCCAATCATGCGATCCTTACTTGTATTTCAAAAAACTGAATGTTTTCTTTTTGCATATAAAGAAACTACCATATAGGGCCTATAAGTTGATATTACCAAATTGACATAAATTTAATTGAACTACAATGGATATTGGATAATCCGAATTTTCTCTACTTTTCTAAATTTTAAGGTACATTTATTTAGTTATTTTTATATGCTTTCTATATCTAAAGTTTTCTTATTTTCACATAAGTTAAAGTTGTCACATAAAAATACAAAATGATACAAAAACAAAAAGTTTTGATCGTTTACTAAAAGAGAAAAAACATTTTTTTAGGATTTTTGGCTCAAATCTGTACTTAAAGTGGAAGCTTTTAAAAGCTAACATAGTTCTAGTTTGTTTGAAAAATCATATTACATGTAATTTAATATATTTTGAAACTTTTGTCCCTTTCTTCTATTTTCTCTCTTTCAATTTTAATTTTACCCAATTGAGAGGCTTTACAAAGCTGAACACAAACACATAACCATGATTTTATTTCGAGAAACTCTGCGAAATATCAATTATTTAAAAGCTGGACATGACTCGTAAATAGGCATACGGTATTTTTTTCCGATATTATTATCTACAATTAAGATATCAGCACCAGGGTATACTCTTTGCATTCGTTAAACCTTACTGCTTTATTTTCACGGATATTAGCGTGGAATAGCGACCTGTGTTTGTGCTGGTTACCTTGCATTGCCTTTGTTTCCATTGTATTGCAGTTACAATGCAATACAATGTGTATTTGTGTTTGTTTGTATACTGTACTGACCAGTGCAACTACTGAAAATTTCTTACTTCCATGCATTAGAAGAAGTATATTCCGTTATTTTTGTCGATGACGAGTACTGTATAGCATATGTACCTCTGCACCATTGAAGATTTATTACGGTCAGAAATACATGTAAAAGATTATTGGCCTTGTCATGATTTGGATTTTGCTCGTTTAAAGAACTTATTATTTTTTAATTTTTATTATTTTTTCGTTAGAAATATTTGAGAGTGTTTGTTTTATTTGTTTGTTATTTTGTTCTTCGGGTTTCATGCATTTCGCCCGGTCCAGTAAATCAAAATTATTACCGGTATATACACTGTAAAAACTGCGTTTAGAAAATAAACATTTCCTTTACGTGTTTAGACCTAAACATGTTTAAGATTGTGTTTAATGGCTAAACACTTATGTATGTACATGTATTATATCTAAACATGTTTAGATTTAAGACGTGTTTAGATTTAAGTGTTTAGAAATTGAACACTTTCTGTGACAAACAGAGTTATCTTCCCGGAAATGACGCGTAATATATTTGAACGTAAATAGGGCGGTTACCGAAACAAAGAAAATTCCAGTGTAAGCTAAAGAAGATGGATTAAAGGAAGCGAATCATAACCAAAGTGATAACCAGGAAGGGATTGTGGAATGCATTTGGAAGGCAACATTACTACAATAAAAGGTCTGCTTTCTTTTATTATTTTACATAAATTGACAAGAATTAGAAACGTTGCAGTTAGACAATGTTGTAGATCAAGATTCCCTTCTTTTATGTTTGCATTCCTGAAATCTAGAAAGGAGTTTATATTATAGAATGTCATTGAAAATATTTACATCCGTATCAGTATTTTATATACATAATTGGTAAATGGATTTCAATAAACGTTACATAATATTAGCCAGTTAGCTATATCAGTCAGCAAGGGGCATATTTTTAGTATAATTTCATTTCTTTCTTACAGGATTTGGTCCAGATCGAAGCAAAAAAATCACGTATCAGAGTAGCGGGTGCGATTTCCAAGTCCACAAATTTGTTGGTACATCTTCAGCACTTTTAGCATTTCAGAGGAAACTGAATTTTGTGAAGTCTACTGTTCGCTGTATTTTTAAACAGCCCCAAAACATTCGTGAAATGGAAATGGATTTCTTTCTGGCAGTTATGGACGAAAACAAATGATCGTGTGTTTCTAGTGAAAGACTTGCAGGAAATTTATAAACTTGATTAATTTTTGTTACAGACATGAGGAATAATTGCATGCTTGCTGATCTGATTGATATTGACTAGAGCAAAATAATATTTTTATGTTTAAACCTATATGTATATTGAATTTAAAATTCTTCAAAATAAATCTTTGTTTGAACATTCAATAATGTTATGGTATTTCTAGGAAACTAATTTAATAATTTTTCCCCCCCAAAAATATGTTTTCCTGTGATAGTTTAGAATTTAAACCATTGTGATGGATCTAATGTTGTGAAACTAAACATGTTTAGCAACTTAACACTTAAATATTGATGTGTTTAGAAATGAGACGTGTTTAGGGCTAAACGTGTAAAAAAAAAAGTGAAACAAAAAATGTGTTTAGATTTAAGTGTTTAGGGGTTAAACATGTTTAGCAACTAAACACATGAAGTCTAACGTGTTTAGAAATGAGACATGTTTAGGGCTAAACGTGTAAAAAAAGTGATACAAAAAATGTGTTTAGATTCTAAACACTGTTTTTACAGTGTATAAGTCATTTTGTGTCTAAACATATCATATCAAAAGAATTTGATTCATAGGCAATGAATTTTAAACAAATAGAAGGGGGGTTGAGATCTTTAACGGTCAGAAATACATGTAAAAGATTATTGGCCTTGTCATGATTTGGATTTTGCTCGTTTAAAGAACTTATTATTTTTTAATTTTTATTATTTTTTCGTTAGAAATATTTGAGAGTGTTTGTTTTATTTGTTTGTTATTTTGTTCTTCGGGTTTCATGCATTTCGCCCGGTCCAGTAAATCAAAATTATTACCGGTATATATAAGTCATTTTGTGGCTAAACATATCATATCAAAAGAATTTGATTCATAGGCAATGAATTTTAAACAAATAGAAGGGGGGTTGAGATCTTTAACCGGTCAGAAATACATGTAAAAGATTATTGGCCCTGTCATGATTTGGATTTTGCTCGTTTAAAGAACTTATTATTTTTTAATTTTTATTATTTTTTCGTTAGAAATGTTTGAGAGTGTTTGTTTTATTTGTTTGTTATTTTGTTCTTCGGGTTTCATGCATTTCGCCCGGTCCAGTAAATCAAAATTATTACCGGTATATATAAGTCATTTTGTGGCTAAACATATCATATCAAAAGAATTTGATTCATAGGCAATGAATTTTAAACAAATAGAAGGGGGGTTGAGATCTTTAATGTGACTGAACAGAGTTACATGTAACAAGTAACACGTCTTGCAAAAATTCAAAGCAATCAGTACTTCAAAGTCGATTTTTTTTTCTCACGAGTTTATAATGCAAGTTATAATGTTTAGGAATAGTTCACTCTAAAAATAGGGAGCTCGGGATAAAGAACAGTAATTACATGTAAGCTAAAAATCACGTCTTAAGATAATTGTGAGCAGAGCCTTTACTGACCTTTAAAAATCAGGCGTTGGATCAGGTGCATGCCATAGAGAAATTAGCATCCTCTGGTAACAGGTAACACCTATTGTATACTTTGTATGTTTATATGGGAGGGTTAACGAAAAATCAGTAGAAAAAAAATGTTTATTTCTTGTGTTCACAAGTAAATTATTAATAAATGAATATTAACATACATGCTCCAAAATTAATCGAATTCAAATTCATAAGACCGAAAACCACTAACAGAATCAGTAAAAATAGGCCCAGTTTAGGTCTTTTACTGAAATTGGGTTTGAATACTTAATTAACAAAATATCAAATAGCACACCACCACACACACCACTTCAAATACTGTGAAATCATCAATGTTCGTGGGGGACCGATGTTCGTGGACTTCGTGGGTCACGCCTATCCACGAATTTACATCCCCACGAACATTTATCTTGACAACATATTTACTGAATTTTCTGTATGAGTTACCCACGAAATTATATCTCAACAAACCAACAAAATTTTGATTACCCGCGAACATTGAACCCCACGAATTAAAATGATTCTACAGTATTTAATTTTCAAAACTGCATTGGAAAAATTTCTTTTGTGATTCTTTCTACATGTACATGTATATCACTCAGTAATTTCTATAACTGTCAATATCCTTCAGATACATATGTATCAATGATATATCTACTTCAAGATAAGTAAAGATTTGTTCACAGTGCTTCATCCATCTAAGAGTCCTTTGTTCTTTCTTCTAATTTTAACTTGATCCCATTTAGAGGTTTTAATAAGCCTGAATTGTTAAGCTTCACGGGGATCTACAAGAAAAAGTCAAAAAGTAACTTTCTTGCGGGGAATAATAACCTTTAATGTAAAAATATACAACTGTGATGAGATTTGGTGCAAATGAATGTCCATTAAAGTTATAAATGTGGTATAAAAAGTATACCTCTGTTTCACTACATGTAACAAAGCGGTAATGCTGAAGTATGTAGATAATGGCACATTTAGCTTCCATGGCAGCTAGGCGTTGTCCTATACAGTTTCTAGGACCATGGCCAAATGGAAGAAAGGCGTATGGGTGACGCCCAGCCTTGTTTTCAGGAGAAAACCTGAAAAATTTGGAGAATTATTTGTCTCACAAACCAGCTTAACTTAAAAAATTAATTTTCAAATCAACAGCTGCTTTAAAGTTAGTCATATTTTTTTTTTAAATGTAGCTGATAAATGTAAATGTTAACTTAATGTTTCTTGAATAAATAAATATATTAGGTACATGTAGTTATAGTTCTTTAGATATTATACCTTTCTGGTTCAAATTTGTCAGGTTCTGGCCAGTATTTAGGATCTTTATGAAGTGCATAAATAGCAAACGACAGATCAACGCCCTTAGGAATCTTATACCCGCCTATGTCCATCTCAACTTTGCTCACCCGATTTGTTCTAAATTTAATAAAAAAGATATATTATCTAAGAAATCTAAAATTCTTGATACAAATTCGGGATAGATATAAAATCAAATGCCATGTATTGGAAAGCGATAGATGTTGTTGCAAGCCAAAGAGACATTATTTTTTATTCAGGAAGTTAAGTATTATCACCAACTTCATGCAATGTTCGTTGCTTCATGCAATATGAAAATGGCTTTTATTAATAAAATGCATTTGCTAGTACTCATTTTAAACTACAAAATGCTATTATTGTGACAACTCAGGAAATTAAAGAAAAAAATTTAGTAGTGTACATGTACATGCGTGTTGTTAAGAGTCGCATCCTTTGGCTGTTAAGAGAAAAGTTCGAACAGAATTGCTTCATAATATTACTTGATTAAATGGTTGTGTTATGTAAATGTCATTCCTAAAAATAAAAGATTAAACAATTTTAAATCGCAAATTTTACACTTGAGTGCGTGAAAACATGCGTGTATGGTTGTTTGGGGGAGGGAGTGAATCTTTTGCAGATAAAATACCTTACAGCTGGCGGATAGAGTCTAAGTGTCTCATTGAAAACCCAGTCCATGTAGTCAATCTTCTGTACATTGTCATAAGTTGGTAACTCCTAGAAATGTTGATAATTATCATGCTGCTTATATTTGATAATGAATATAAAAGATGAATATAAGGAACCGTGGATGATCTAAAACAATTACATTGTATAAACAATATAAATGTGTGGAGAGAGCACGGGTCCCTGGAAATACCAGAGGTGGGCTCAGGTGCCTATGAAGAGTAAGCATCCCCTGTCGACCTGTTGACACGTCATATTCGCTAAGAGTCCTACGTATTGATCAGGCAGATGGAACTTTCCGTACGTAAATTCAGTATAAAAACAAACCAGAAGTCTCTGTCGAGACTGAAGCTCTACTGGTTTGAACTTATAGCAAAGGAAGAGAAGAGTACTTAAGCAGCTGGGATTTGAAACTTTACAACAGCAATATATAGAATAATGATCGTTGATAAAGTCTCTTTATGTTCTTAGTGTAGTCTACTTGTGTGCCAAGTTATATTGAAATCAGACCAAAACTGTAGGAGGAGTAGCATTTTGAAACAATTTTACAGACATTTCAATTTTTAGTAACCATGGCAACACAGTTCATCAAAATTAAAATTTGATACACAGAATTATGTATCTTAGTGTAGTCTACCTGTGTGCCAAGTTATACTGAAATCAGACTAAAACTGTAGGAGGAGTAGCATTTTGAAAGAATTTCACAGAAATTTCTATTTTTAGTAACCACGGCAACACCGTTCATCGAAATCAAAAACCGATACACAGAATTATGTATCTTAGTGTATTCTACTTGTGTGCCAAGTTATATTGAAATCAGACCAAAACTGTAGGAGGAGTAGCATTTTGAAAGAATTTCACAGAAATTTCTATTTTTAGTAACCACGGCAACACCGTTCATCGAAATCAAAAACCGATACACAGAATTATGTATCTTAGTGTATTCTACTTGTGTGCCAAGTTATACTGAAATCAGACCAAAACTGTAGGAGGAGTAGCATTTTGAAAGAATTTCACAGAAATTTCTATTTTTAGTAACCACGGCAACACCGTTCATCGAAATCAAAAACCGATATACAGAATTATGTATCTTAGTGTAGTCTACCTGTGTGCCAAGTTATACTGAAATCAGACTAAAACTGTAGGAGGAGTAGCATTTTGAAAGAATTTCACAGAAATTTCTACTTTTAGTAACCACGGCAACACCGTTCATCGAAATCAAAAACCGATACAAAGAATTATGTATCTTAGTGTAGTCTACTTGTGTGCCAAGTTATACTGAAATTAGACCAAAACTGTAGGAGGAGTAGCATTTTGAAAAATTGTTTACAGACAGACGGACAGACAGACAGACAGACGGACAGACGGACGCCGGACGCATTACTATCGCATAAGCTCTTCTGGTCTCTGACCAGTAGAGCTAAAAATGACAATTGAAACAGGTCAGCAAAAATACGACCCAATATCAGGCTGTATTCTCTAACAAGGCCATTATAACGACCATAGAATTTACGAGATTCCGACATGCAGAGTGGTTCTTAACGGAGTAATTTTGCAGTTGACCAATCACAAGATGTGAAAATTTCCGGAGTTCAAGAAGCTGATATTGAAAAGTCTAGATTTTAATTTATCGTGAGGAACTGTAAAAAGTTTTTCAAAAATCGAAAGTTGTAAAGTTACAGACTTGAAAAATTGTGTATTTTTCCGTTTTTTAATCATGTGTTTTAGAGATTCTAAGGATCCACATCTGATTTACATCACTTCTAGAATATGCTGTAGCATGATACTTATAAAATTTCTCCTTTATAGTAGTTAATATTTTCGTTAAGAGTAAGGATTAGGGCTAGGCATATCATTTGCTGGAAGAGTTCTGATTTTTTTCAATGTGAGAATGTTATTAATTATGAATATAGAATATTATCAAAGAGATTTCTTTAAAAAAAAGAAAAAGAAACAAGTCAATTTTACCTTTCCTAGAATTGAATCGATTTCGTCAATGAGTTTTTCTTGGCAATCTGGGTTCGTTGCCAGACAATATGCCATAAAAGTCATGCTGCTTGCCGTTGTATCAAACCCAGCAAGTATAAAAAATATAGCATTCCCGGTCACTTCATCTTCAGTCAAACCTGGTATAAAAAGACAGTTTAGAACGTACAATTTTGAACAAAAGAAAACGTATCGCACGCTCATTTGTTCGTTTTTTTTAAATTTCGCCTCTCTTAAAATTACTTACTAGTATTTATGAGAGAGAGAGAAAGAGAGAGAGATTACCTCGCTTTTTCCATTTGTTAGGATCCTCTTCATAGCTGTGTTCACTCTCTATTTCATTCTTGTCGGTGTCTTTGTGAGCATTCAACATTAACTGTAGCATATCTGTTCTATTCTACGTCACAAAAAAAAAAAAAAATTGAAATTTACTATCTGCTTAAAAAACCCAACTATTTTAACCTAAAGATGTAATGATTAATAACTACTATAAAACCATGCATGGCATAATGAAAGCAAATTAAAACAGAAGTCAATACAATGCATGTAAATATGTAAGAAATTAATTCATGCCATTTTGTTCAAGCTAATAATTTTGTACATGTAAATGATCAAAGTTTAAGAAATCTTCCACTTCCAGATACATGTATATAACGTCTCTTTCACAACTGAGATTTTAAAACACTGACACGCTTACATGTAGATTTTTCTCAACAATGATGCATATAGGGCTTAAAATGCTTTTTATTCTTCATTTTTGTTAAGTATTGGTAAGTTAATTTATAATTTATAGATTTATCCCAAATGAGAATCCTACTTAAAATTTGACCTAGCCAAAATGAATTGTGAAAGAAATCAGTTTCATAAGTTTTCTAGTAATACGAGGGGTGATCAAAAAGTTCACGAACAAATTAAATAACTTCCAAAAATGAAATGATATAGGGTTTCAGTTTGACAATTTTTCAAAGTAGTACTCTCTAATTTTTATGCGCATCTGCAACCGTTCTGTCCATGCGCGGACACGTAACACGCTCACAGAAGCTTGAATTTTTTTCCCACTCCTATATTTCTAACCATGCAAGTTATTTTTTACAACAAAAACAGTCTATTTGTCAGAAATGGCCTTATCTCGGCAATAGTATGGGTGGATAATGATAGATCTATCCTTTTGCACAATGAGCATGCATATGGTGATCATCAAAACCCAAGTCCTCTGTCTTTTGAGCGTCGTTTAATTCATGTGGATAAAGTACGGGTGCCTTCACTTTATCATATCTGATGTGTTTAAAGTCTAAAGTGAACGATATTTTAGGGAATTGTTAATTATATTATTGTAAAGACATTCATCTATTTTTCTAACTAAAAGTTGGCAATCTTTCTTATTAATTTTTTTAACAAATAATACGTCTCTTTCCCAATTTGATTTCACTGGGCAACAAAACAAAGATCATTTTAAGCATTTCCCTTCCTTCACTTAAACAATCAATCCAATTTGTAAATATAGAGATAGTTCGCGAACTTTTTGATCACCCCTCGTATTTCTGAAGATATCAAATGCACAGTTTGAAAATAAATATAAAATATTTTTTAACCCAATCATGGACAAGAAATATTTAAACAAAAAGCAGAAAATTTATTTATTTACTGGTGCCATTTACCTGATCTCCTTCATCTCGCATTTTAACTGCCTGATGTACAGCCGATTTAAAAAAGTTCATCACTTTTCGATTATTTAACGGTGATAACTCAAAGTAGTCCAACACACGGTCAACAAATGGTAAAACAACTGAAAATGTAAAAAAAAAAAATCTGATTTAAAATATACAATTCCAAATGAAATGTGATATTCCACAATGTCGAATCGTCTTTTTAGAATGACGTGTAAACGTATATATTGAAGTTACATATTAGTATGTTTCTATTACTACTGTAACAGTAACTGATATGCTACAGATGTTCACAACAGTTTTACCTTAATTTAGCCTTTTATGTTTTCAATCTTTAATCAAATTTCAAAGTAAAGGAAAAAGCGGTATTGTTTTCTTTTTAATTGATTTTTTATGGTATTTCTAACAGAAATCATAAAAACATTCATTTTGAAAACTCTTGAAGGTTATATACTAACAATATCGATGTACCCTATGGTACTGGTATTATCGAAAATCAATATCCAGGAACAGCCATGCATATCTTTTGTATATGATTTGCAGCTCTTGAAAATTATTCAAATACGCGTTGTTATTCGGACAATATGATCCCTATATCATTACTCTGACATGATAATGACTCAGACGTAGTTCAATAACTGGTAATTTGCTAAAACATTATGAACAAGGAATACACCTATGAAATATGAATGCCATAGACCCATCCACTCAATAGTAATGGGCTAGATTAATGTTGACACAGACAGAAAAACAGACAAACGCACAATCAGACAGACAGGACAAAATCAATATACCCCGGGTTCTTTCAATCCGGGGGCTTAAAAATAAAAATAAACTATTCACATCACTGAGGTATGAACAACAGATATCTTGCAATCTGCATGTTGGAGAAGTTATCAAGACAAAGATCTACTCGACATGCAATATTTCGCATAAAATGACTCTTTTCTCGTAAATTTATCTGATAATTTTAATGTATCCTTCTGGCAGTCGTTCCAGTCCACTAATTGAACAACTTCAATAAATGGATTATCCCTTCCGAAAACCTCTTCACAATTAAATTCACAAATATAAAAGTGTTAGGCTTGTATATAATTAAAAAAAATAGAAAGTTGCACTCGCAGAAAAAAACAGCATACATACAAATCAGGAGTAAACGCAACGATATCTTGTTGTCGAACAGCTCTTTGGCATATTTCACAAATGTATTATCTTGTTCCATCTGCGAGTCTATGTCCATTCCGAACCCAAGAGCGGCTATAACGTCCATAGTGTATCTACCAAACATTCTGTAAATAAATTTAGTCATCTGAATGGTATAGAATGTCTATTATTTTTTATAGTAAACAAAAAAATAAGATGTAAATCATGGTTTAATTTTTTGGGGCTCTGACGGCTATTTTTACCTATCCGATACTTACTCTTTAAACTCTATGGAGTTTCCTTTATCTGACTCTCTTTTAAGACTTTCCAGCAATAACTGATATTTTTTTCTTAGAATGGGATTCATCTGCAATAAATATCAGAAAATAAACAGTTTTACCCTCGTATGGTAGCTATTGGCGAGGGTTGAAACTTCTCAAATGCAACTTTAATTCCAAGTTCAAGGTCAATAAGTGGAATTTTTTGGTACCCAATGGAAGGTCGTGCCACAAGAAATACACATGTGAAACTATTTTGTCGCCCGCATGGCGCAGTGGTTAGAACGTATTCTCTAGAGTCACGGAGTAAGGAGTTGATCCTTACGACATGAGTTCGAATCCCACTGTAGATATGGAGACCGTTCCTTTGGATAAGACAATATAAACCGAGGTCCCGTGTCGCAGAAGGTCTGGCACGAAAAAGATCAATGTCCGTAAGTGCCGAGTATAAGACAAAATTTGCAGCTCTTCACCGGCAAGTGGTGGCGTCTCCATACGAGAGAAAAATTGTCAAAAGGGACGTTAAACAACATTCAAACAAACAACAACTATTTTCTACAACAACAACTAAACAATGTCTATGTAAAAACCAACAACTACTTTATTCCAATGTAACGCTTTCATTCATTTATGTGACCGACCGTGTCTACCCTCCCTGCTACATGCATATTAAACAAATATAAATCACTTTGCACAGAACGGTCACGGAAGACTAGTAGTAGGGCGTTCGCTTTCTGATTGGGAGACTCAGGTTTGAATTGAAGCCCTTCATCGATATACATGTACGGTACATGTACTGTCTACATACCGGTTATGACGTTTCTATACTTCAACTCGACATTTAGATATATCGACGACGTATTGTCAATTAACAATGCTTATTTCCATTCCAATGTCGATACGATATATCCTGGTGAGCTTCAGATAAAAGATACTTCAGAGTCTGACACACCTGTTTCTTATTTGGATATTTTACTTGAAAAAGACGTTAATTGTAATCTAACAACCAAGCTCTATGACCAAATGTGATGACTTTAACTTTTCAATTGTCAACTTCCCTTAATTGTATGCAGCAATATATCTTCATCACCTGCATACGGAGTTTATATCTCTCAGTTGATTCAATACGCAAGAGCGTACTCTACGTATGTACAATTCACAAAACGAGGATAATTATTGACAAATTGATGAAACAAGAATATCAGCGGTCTCGATATGATGACAGAGCTCACTGCAACGAACGTTGTCTTTAAATAAGTCAAATTCACACATGAAACTAATAATCTAGAAGTAACTAGTTACTTGGGAAGGGATTTATTTCAAACACTTTAAACTAGTCATGATCACTCAAACAATAATGTAAGTCAAAACTAGCATCTTTATCAAGTTTTAGTGTGCATCCCTTGATGCATCATCCATGCAAGGTTGATTCAGAAAGGCCTTATAATATCTTACTAATGGATCTACTCCAAAAACGAACATGTATTACAAAAGTTTTATAAATACAGGGCTTTGTAAAGTACTTGGAAATTGCATCTGCCCCAAAAGCTTAAACCTGATTACTCATCCGTAAAATAGAAAATGTAGGTCAAATCCAACATATAAAGAAATTATAGTAGTGTATCATTCATGCAAGCTTGGTCAATATAGGGCTTATGTATAGTTACTGGGAAATGAGATCTGCTAAAAATTCTTTAACCTGTTCCCAAATCATTAACCTGCTCAAAACATTCATTTGGTCATTCTTCTGCTACAATTGCAGCATCTGAAACCTTGACTATTACAATGAATTATGCTGGAGAGCATCTTTCATTCATCTCTGATTAATGTTCATTTAGAACATAGACATATTTGAAATGAAATTTGCTCCAAATACTTTAACCTGGAACGCTAGCTGTATTACATAACACCCCCCCCCCCCCCCCCCCCACACACACACACCCTTACTTGGTTGAGATGAGCTATAAATCAAAGCGTCACTTCTATCTAAAATAATAATTTCATACAATATACTGATAATTTAATTGGTTAAAGCTTAATTGAGCTAAAGTTAAAGAGTTGTACCTTTCTCATTTTCCCACTTGAAAATGTTGGTAAGAGAGTATTTCTCATGAATCTCCAGTGGTCATCTTCAACCAGAGACAAGCCATGTTGGAGCTCACTATTGTTTCGAACGACGTTCTGCAAATAAATCTTATTATGCGTGTACGAGGGTCATTCAAAAAATACGTACTGTTGTGAGATGTGTATTGTTTCATTATGTATATAATTAGTAACATTATGTTTCTTGAACATTCCAGAGTGGTCAATATGTTCGGTCATTGTTTCTAGAACATTCCTGAATTTTGTGTATGTCCAGATTGTTCCAGTAATATCATGTTTTAACAATTTCTAGAATATTCTAGATTTATGATACTGTATAAATACCCAGTCAATTCGATGCATAAAGAATGGTGGATAATTTGTCGTATAAGCATCATTGAGGTATTACTGGGATATAATTTCACTGGGACATTGTGTGCAGCAACGGACACTCTGATGTATGTATTTTTTTAGATTCTTGCTAAGTTTGTACTTTATGTTTCATATACTTATTATATATTACTGTAAATAAATTATTGTTAAGTTTAAATTTTGTTATTGATCTTTGCTGGCATTTCGGGTAATTCTGACCCATAACAGAATTGGGGGCTCGTCCGGGATAAAGAATTTCTTGCACTTTTGCAGTTTATTGTCAAAATTTTGTTAATTAAACCGTTAAATTTGATTATAAGCCAGCAGAAATCAACATGGTATTTTCGGTCACAGACTTTCTTAATTCGCCAAGTGTTCAGGTTTTAGATACATTAAAAAAGGATGACTTGATCGCGTTAGGTTTGCATCTTGGGTTAGAGGTTAAATCTTCACAGAGAAAGCAAGACATTAGAATAAAGGTTGCAAACAAACTAGTTGAAGAAAACATCTTTGGAAAATATGATCTTCCAGATTATACACTTAAATCAGAATCTTCTAATATGTCAGAATTTCAGTATCAAGTAGAGTTGGAAAAAATGAGATTTGAAGAACGAGAGCGTGAACGGAAATTTGAATTAGACAAATTAGAAAGAGAAAGAGAAGAGCGAGAAAGAGAAAGACAAGAGCGAGAAAGAGAGCGTGAAATGAACTTTGAATTAGAGAAATTAAAATTACAGAACAAACCAGGACCGTCAGTTGTCAAAACTGAATTTGACGCAGCAAAAAATATCAGATTAGTTCCAAAATTTCAAAAAAAATCTGTAGACAAATATTTTCCCCAATTTGAAAAGGTCGCAGAGAATCTTAAATGGCCACAACATGTTTGGTCAACAATGTTACAAAGTGTACTTGTTGGAAAAGCGGCTGAGGTATACTCTGCACTAGGGGTAGTTGAGAGTTCAGACTATGAGAAGGTCAAAGCAGCAATATTAAAAGCCTATGAATTAGTACCTGAAGCGTATAGACAAAAGTTCAGAAAGTATAGAAAGTTTGATAATCAAACATTTGTTGAATTTTCACGAGAGAAAGAAGATTTATTCGATCACTGGTTTAGATCTAAGAAACTTGATAAAACTTTTGATAATCTGCGCCAAGTCATCCTGGTAGAAGAGTTTAAGGAATGTGTTTCTCAAGATTTGAAAACACATTTAGAAGATAAGAATGTGAAAACTCTTGAAGAGGCAGCTACGAAAGCCATGAAAGGACACGGCGATTTTTCAAAAAAGTAAATATTAATTTGAGATCTCGAATTACACAATCCGTTCCCACGGATTATCAATTCGTTCTCTCGGTTTATAATTCGAGATCTCGAATTACACAATCCGATCCCACGGATTACTAATAGTAAATATTAATTTGAGATCTCGAATTACACAATCCGTTCCCTCGATTTATAATTCGAGATCTCGAAATACACAATCCGTACCCATGGGTTATTAATTCGTTCTCACAGATTATCAATTCGTTCCTTCAAATAACACAATCCGTTATCTCGGATTGTAATTCATTCTCTCAGTTTAAACAATTCGTTCCCTCGGAATGTAAACCCTTCTCATGATTTCATTAATATCAGCTATCTGTACATATCGGATATGGCAATACGTGTTTAATGATTAGAATATTGTAGCTGTTTACATCCTACCTTTTATTATATATTACGGTCCAAAATGAGAAAATTACATGAACATGACTCAAATCCATATTCTAGAACTGATATTTATACAAAAAAGTCCTGGGTTTTGTTTTACGTGTATATTAGAATAATTGAAAGTCCTATATAGTAAAAGTAAATATGGCTCCTGTGTAATTATTTTTTATCTGAATAAATATATGTTGAATTAGTTATAAAAGAGGTTCGGAACGACCGCGGTTGCTAAAACAAATTACATGAATCGCATTAATTGATTCAAATCGTTGGATTTGAAGGTATCCAACATTACATGTATACATATATAGAGTACATGTAATAAAATTCGCGAGCTTTGATTGCCAAAATCATAAGACTTATGTTACAAATCGAGATCTCGAATTATTATTAATCCGTGGGATCGGATTGTGTAATTTGAGATCTCGAATTATAAATCGAGGGAACGAATTAGTAATCCGTGGGATCGGATTGTGTAATTCGAGATCTCGAATCATAAATCGAGGGAACGAATTAGTAATCCGTGGGATCGGATTGTGTAATTCGAGATCTCGAATCATAAATCGAGGGAACGAATTAGTAATCCGTGGGATCGGATTGTGTAATTCGAGATCTCGAATTATAAACCGAGAGAACGAATTGATAATCCGTGGGAACGGATTGTGTAAATCGAGATCTCAAATTAATATTTACTTTTTTGAAAAATCGCCGTGTCCTTTCATGGCTTTCGTAGGCAGCAGTCATATCTGATACTTATGCTCTGTCTCATAAAAAGAATTTTGTATCAAGATCTCAGACTAGCAGTAATTCTACCAATTCAGACACATATAAAAAGAGTGGTTCAGGGTCTCAGTCTTTCACAAGTTCCCAGTCTCCATCCCAAGGTGGTTCTAAGTCCGGTCCAGGACGTTTTGAAGGATCTTCTGGAATAGGGTCGCTTCCTACTTGTAGTTATTGTAAGAAAAAAGGTCATCTGATCAGTGAATGCTTTAAACTTAAGAGAAAAAATGACTTTGATAAAACTCAACCAAATGCTTGTGCGGCAGTTAGAGGTGATAGAGAAGCCTTAGTTTCGATTTGTTCTGACACTCCTGATGTCCAGGGTTCACAGTCCAGTTCTATTGATTCTATGGAGGATTATAAGCCCTTTATGTCTCAGGGATTTGTTTCACTCGGTGACTCTAGCGAAATTAAACCTGTCCAGATTTTGAGAGATACTGGTGCTGCACAGACGTTATTGTTAGAGGGCGTGCTTCCTTTGTCTGAGCAGACTTCTGCTGGTGGGTCAGTTTTATTACAGGGTGTGGAGCTAGGCGTCATTGATGTTCCCTTGCATAGAATTAGTTTGAAGTCAGATTTAGTTACTGGACCTGTTATCGTAGGTGTTCGACCTACTCTTCCCGTTCCAGGCATTTCTTTGTTGTTAGGCAACGATTTAGCTGGTGGGAAGGTTGTACCTGATCCTATAGTTTGTGAGAAAATCACTTCCAAAGTCATGTGCGATGATGAAGATGATGACATTTATCCAGCCTGTGCTGTTACTAGAGCGATGGCCAGAAGACGAGAAATGGAGGCAGACCATACTCAAGCCTTTGACGAGACAGATTCCTCTGTTGATATTGATTTGAATGACACTTTCTTATCTGACCTTGATGGCACTCAAACAAGCATGGAACCACACAATATCAAGAAGCAAGAGAAGAAAGAACTTTTACCAAAATTTGGTGGTGAGGATGATGAGTTGCATCCACTAGTTAACCAAGGCAAGGACATCCTCAGCCGAGAACGTTTACTCTCTGAACAACATAAAGACCCAGATATCATTCAACTTAGTAAGAGGGCACTTCCACCAGAAGAGGCTATTAAAGTTGGAGAATGCTTCTATATGAAAGATGGCATCCTTATGCGAAAATGGCGACCACCTGACGCTTCTCCAGATGAAGTGTGGCGTGTTGTTCACCAGATAGTGGTCCCAGCTGCTTATCGTCGAGATGTCATGAGTTTAGCTCACGATACACCTATGGCTGGTCATTTAGGTATCAATAAGACTTATAATAGGATTTTGAGTCATTTTTATTGGCCTAAGCTAAGAAAGGATGTTTCGAAGTTTTGCAAGTCATGCCATGTCTGTCAGATGGTAGGTAAACCAACTCAGAAGATACCATCTGCTCCTCTCCAACCCATTCCAGCTTTTGAAGAACCGTTTAGTCGAGTGTTGGTGGATTGTGTAGGACCTTTGCCTAGGACTAGATCTGGAAACCAGTATTTACTTACCATTATGTGTACATCCACTCGGTTTCCTGAAGCCATACCTCTTAGGAATATAAAGGCAAAGAGCATAGTTAAGGCCCTAACCAAGTTTTTCAGTTTTGTAGGAGCACCCAAGGCAATTCAGTCGGATCAAGGCTCAAATTTTATGTCGGGGTTGTTCCAGCAAGTCATGCATGAGTTGGGTATTAGGCAGTATCGATCAACTGCTTATCATCCTGAGTCTCAGGGAGCGCTAGAACGTTTTCATCAAACCCTAAAAACAATGCTGAAGACCTATTGTTACCAGTATGAAAAAGACTGGGATGAAGGGGTTCATCTTGTACTATTTGCTGCACGAGAAGCAGTCCAGGAGTCTCTTGGGTTCAGTCCTTTTGAATTGGTGTTCGGTCATACAGTTAGAGGTCCTTTGAAATTGTTGAAGGAAAAGTGGCTGACTGAGACTAGTGATCTTAATCTTTTAGATTATGTGTCTGATTTCAAAGAAAAACTTTACAATGCTTGTAAATTAGCACAAGAAAATTTGAAGAATTCTCAGATGAAAATGAAAATGTGGTATGACAAAGATGCCAGAAATAGGGTATTTAAGCCAGGTGATAAGGTTCTTGTATTTTTACCTATTCCTGGTCATCCTTTACAGGCCAGATTTTATGGCCCTTATGAAATTGAAAGCAAGATCAGTGATGTAAACTATGTAGTTAAGACACCAGGTCGACGTAAAGAGAAACGGGTTTGTCACATTAACATGTTAAAA